CGGCCTCGGGGTGCGACAGGGAGGAGTTATTTCTGAGGAAAAGAGGACGGAGGAAGGGAGGGAGGGAGGGGGGGTTGAGAGCGAGGGGGGGAGGAGAGTGGCCGTGCCAACGGCGTGTCCCCCCCTTTTTCAGCGGGCGAGGCGAGGGGGACGGGGGAGTGGAGAAGGCTTCTTAGAAGCAGCCTTGCTTTTTAGAACGCGCGGACCTTCTCTATATACATGTGGTGCAGGCGCCTTTCAAGAAGCAGCCTCCTTCTAAGAAGCCGCCTTTCCCCCCTCCCCCTACACCCTTGTGCGCGCTGACGAGCAAGAGGATTAGCGGAGGGCGGAGGAGAGGAAGAGAGAGGGGCGGTAACGAAGAGGAGCGAGTCGGATCCAGACATGTGTCCCGCTTTGGGGCGAGAGCGCCATTCGGAACAACGGGGCAAGACACCGATCCCGAAGCGTGGCAAATGCTGTTGTCGGGTGGCAAGATTCAAATGTGAGTTTGTGCTATTGTCGAAGGAGTGGTCAAGGAAAATGTTGCGGAATTGAAGGAATGGGAGGTGGAGGAATGGCATTCGGAGGAAGAAGTTGGTCAAGGGGGCGGGCGAGGAAGGAGAAGAGGGAAGGAGGGTGGGCAGGGAGAGAGGCAAGAAGGAAGGCTAGAGAAGGGAGTGGAGGGGAAATGGGGAGGAGGGGCGGAGGAGGGGGAGGTGGAGGGAGGTGAGAGGAGGCAGGGAGCTTCTCCTCCCCTGTTCGGGGCCAGCCCGCAGAACCGTAACAGATGTCCTCTCTTATTCGTAGCCCTCTTCTTGTTCGTATTGTGCCTCCCTTTCTCTGTTTCCGATCCGCATGGGCCGTGGACCGCGCCTGCCTACTCTAGGTCGGATTTGCTCCTCTTGTTGTTCCCTCGTTGTTTGTTCGTAGTCATGCTGGCTCAGGTTCACCTCGCGCAATCGAGAAGACCGATTGCGTTTCTGCGTGTTCTGGCGGCGATGCTAGACAGCTCGGGGTATGTAGTGCTATGTTCCATGCTGATACTTACGCTAACGATCCTGGTGGCGATTGCGACCTCTTTAGTAGTCAGCACGATCTGCAGGAACGTAGAACGGCACGGGCTGGTATCCTTGTTGTGGGGCAGAGCGCTGCCAGTGCTTCAGCGGCCGCTCGTCGATACTCTGCAGTCGACGTTCTTGTGGATAACGTCGGCCGCCTGCGACATGGTCCGCGTGGCCATGCTGATGCTACTGAATCTTGACGAGGATCGCCACACAACAAATTACACAGACCTCCTCCAATGGATTGTTCCTGGGCCTCACCGGAGGGTGGCGGTGTGTATCCAGCTGCCCACGTCAAGTCCCGCCACTGTTCTTGGGTTGTGGGTCATAAGCCTAGTGGATGTTCGTTGGGATCTCGTGGGAGGCCTCTTGGAGGCCGTTAGGGGGCCTCTTGGGGACCTCTGGGGGGCCTCTTGGAGACCTCTGGGGGGCCTCTTGGGGACCTCTTGGGGCCTCTTGGGCGCCTCTTGGGCGCCTCTTGGGGCTTCCTGGGGGCCCCTTGGCGCGGAAGGCTCGGATTTTCGATTCGTGTTCCTTCTCTGGGGACTTCTGGGGGCCGTCTTGGGGCCCTCGTGGACCATCTTGGTCGCCTCTTGGGCCGTCTTGGGGCGCTCTTAGGCAGCGTTGGGCCCTTCTTGGAGGCCTCTTGGGCCGTTCTGGGGTCGTCTTTATGGGGCCTCTTGGGCCGTCTGGGAGCGTCGGAAAGCCGAAAAGGCGAGAACGCCCCAATCCTGCAAACATGCAAGGAAAATCAATGATTTGTGCCCTTGGGGGGCCCTCTTGTGAGACGGCCTGGAGGCCCCTTGGGGCGCCTTAGAAGCCTCTTGCGCCATCTTGGGGCCATCTTGGGCGTCTTCGAGCGATCGTTCGGCGACTCGGAGCCCTCTTGGACCGTCTTGGGGGCCTCCTGGGCCGTCATGGAAGCCCTGGATAGCCCCAGGGAGGCGCCATTGCCGCCCAGGGACCCCCCGGGACCATGGCCAGTGCACGCAGCGAGGCGCTTCCCGAGGAGGCGGGGGCCCCTAGAAGATTACAGAAACCTTGCCCCAGACAGCACTTGGCATTCTACCACGCCTCAACGGGCCAGGGGGTTACTGTGGCAAAAATCGCTACTGAGAGCCAGCAATTTTGTACACCGCCACCCTCCCTGGAGGTACAGGCAAAATTAGTCGGCGAATGTCTGTTCGGGAGCGAAAGAAGGACGTACACGTTCCTGAACCCACGCTGATTTCGAACATACGCGTTGAGCGAACGTTCGTATCACGAGGCTCGTCTGGCGGACCTGGGGGGTGGGTGGTCGGGCGCGTACGTCCTTTGCTTGCCGTGGCGCACAATTCTGAGGATGGGCACACCCTTCAGGGGTGCCCTCGCATCCTTGCCTCCTCGGCCCACCCTTGGCCCAATTCGCTGGCCGCGCCCCGCTCGCACGGCGTCGGCGTGGCCTTCCAGGGCTTTCGCATCCTCATCGCGCATCCTTCTGATGCGGGCCGACTGCACACACTGTCTTAGTTCTAATTCTAGCCCGTCCAGAAATGAGCCCCAGGGGAGTGGAGGTGATGAGGGAAGCGGGGGAGCATGCAGAAGAACAAAGGGCGGGTAAGCCGCCATATGCCCCAAGAGGGGGAGGATGTAGGAGGAGTCGTCGTCGTCGGAGTAGGAGGAGGAAGAGGAGGAGCAGGAGGACGAGCAGGAGGAGGAGCAGGAGGAGGAGGAGCAGGAGAAGGAGAGGAGATGGAGGAGGGCGAGGACGAGGAGGACGAGGAGGAGAAGAAGGAGGAGGAGGAGGAGGAGGAGGAGAGGCAGGGGGAGGAGGGAGGAGGAGGAAAAAGAGGAGGAGGAGGAGGAGGAGGAGGAGGAGGAGGAGGCCAATGGCGAGCTTGGGGGCCCCTTGGGCCGTCTTTGGGGCCTCTTGGCGGTCCCGGTCCTCTCGCGTATCTCCGGGAGCCTCTTGGGGCCTATTGGGGATCTCTTGGGAGTCTCTTAGCGGCCTCTTGGGCGCCTCTTGGAGCGTCTTGGGGCTCTCTTGGCGCGCTCTTGGGGCGCTCTTGGGAGCCTTCGGGCCGCTTTGGGGGCCATCTTGGACGAGACCTATCAAAGAAGGGGGGGTTGTCAATCAGCGTTGCCCCTCTAGAGTGCCTCGAATCGCCTCTTGGGCCCCCCAAGATGCCAAAATCCTTCAAAACCCATGGAACATCCATGTTTTATGCTTTCTCGCCTTGCCGCTCTGTTCTAATTCTTCGAGAATGCTGTGGTTTGTCTGTGGGGGGCCAAGATCCTTTCACTTCTGGCTGTTCTCTCCTGGGCCTCTTGCTGGCCACCAGGGGGCCAGGAACACTTGAGAAACGAGCACCATTAGAAGTGAGCACCATCAGAAGCGAACGCCGTGCACGCCCATGGCGCAGAGGAGCAGCAGCAGGAGGTCCTCGACGGCATGGACCCCGCCTTCCACCGGGCCGTCTTCCAGCGGCCCGCCGTGCAGCTGCTGCCCTACCCGCTGCAGCGGCTCCTCCTCGGGCGGGAGGCCGCCGCGGGCGGCCCGAAGGCCCTGGGCTGGGGGGCGTGCCCGAGGCTGGCCCCGGACCCGAGGCCGGCGGTGCGAAGGGGGGGTTCTATATCGGAGGTGGACAGACCTCCTACCCTGACACGTCGATTAAGGAATTGGCCGTTTTCGGTTCGCGAGATGGCGTCGCGGCCGTCATTTTTGCGGGTCCAGGTCCGTCGGTTTCGGCCCCAGGCCGTTTTCACCAAGGGGAGGTTTACTAAAGGGAGGTTTGTCCACCGCTGACTGTAGGCCTCCCGGACGGGGCCGGAGCCGACGGGGTCGGAGGAATCGCGCCGCATCGCCGAGGCAGCGGCGCTGCGGCTCGATGTGGAGCCCGATTTGCTTCACGTCGACGTCGCGGGTGCAGCGCCAACATCGGCGATGCGTCGCCGATGCATCGCCGATGCATCGCCGATGCGGCGCGATCCTCCGGCCACATCTTCTCCGACCCTATCTAGGAGGCCTCTAACAATGGAGTCCTGAGGGGTGGGGTCCTATGGACGAGGTGCCTCAAACGATGTAGATCCACCATTGGGCCCCTTCCTGTCCTTGGGAACCCCATCCCTCAGGGCCTCCATCTTTGAGCCGACGGCGAGGGCGAGATCGGCGTCGGACCTCAGGGTGGTGGACAGGCATCGAGGCAGAACGAAAAGGCACAGTCACGCACGTTTGGAGGTCCGCGCGGGTTTCTTGGATCTGCTCTGGGCCGCCCTGGCGACGCCTCGGGTGGCTCCCTTGGCGCGCGCAGCGCACCAGGGAGGGGGTTTTCAGCACAGATCCAAAAGATGTGCGCGGACCTCCGAACGTTTACGCTTATGTCGCCTTCTTTTCCTCTGGAGGACGAGATCGGCCTCGGACCTCGGAGCGGTGGAGAGGCAGCCGTCGCTCTCCGCCGCGGAGCTGAGCCACGTGCTGCGGTGCACGCAGGAGGCGGCGTCGGGCTTCGCGGCGTCAGGCCTCCTCCAGGCTCCAAGGGCAACGATACAGGGCATAGGCCCAGGGGAGGTACGTCGACCCCCGATCACCCATGGATCGCCGATAGGGGATCTGGACCCAACAGTCCCAGCCCGCCGAGGAACGTGCGGTCTCGACGTCGGGGACCCATCGCCGATCTATCGGCGAGGTATCGCCGATGCCGGGTCGATGTTTCCCATTGCTTACCAAACCACCCCAACACCCCAACCCAGCCCGAAGGTCCCACCCCGCCGAGGAACCTGCGGACTCGACAGCGGGGGCCCATCGCCGACCTATCGGCAAGACATCCCCGATTCGAGGTCGATGCTTCTCACTGCTTACCAAGCCACCTCAAGACAGCCCGAAGGCTCCAGACCTCCCTAAAGTTCGGGTTGGGTTTGGGGGGGTTCTCTGGACCCCCCTGGCGCTCGGGGCGTGCGGCCCCACTGCGTCTTCTCGATGTTCCAGAACGTCCCCCCCGCCCGAAATCGGCAGGCCCAACGGCCACTTCGGGTGGGGTTGGCCTGGCTTGGTGGGTCACCAGTGCCTCCCCCATGCGCCCGCAGGCATCTCCCGCGTGCCTTCCCTGGGTTGCCCGCAGGCACCTCCCAAGTGCCTGTTTTCTGGGCTGGTCATCTGTCAGCGCCTCCCCTCTCTGAGCCGGCTCCCCCCCCTCTCCTCTTCTCCTCCCCTCCTCTCCTCCTCCGCCTCCTTCCTCCTCTCTCCTCCTTCCTCCTCCCTCCTCCTCCTCCTCCGCCTCCTCCTCCTCCTCCTCCTCCTCCTCCTCCCCTCCTCCTCCTCCTCCTCCTCCTCCTCCTCCTCCTCCCTCTCCCTCCTCCTCCTCCTCCCCTCCCCCTCCCCCCCCTCCTCCTCTCGTTGGCCCTTGAGGCCCGCGCGGGCCAGCGGCCGAGGCGGCCGGCGGACGCTGCCGCGCTGGAGGGGATCCTGGCCAGGAAGGCCCGGGTCTCGGCGCTCTCGGCCGTGCAGACCCTCGCCAGCTCCACGACCTCGCTGGGCTACGAGAAGCCCCGAAGAGCAGAAGGAAGGGCGCCCTCGAGGGAGCGAAGTTATTCGCGCTTCGCGGTTCGGCTCCGATTCCTCCTCATCCTCCTATTCTCCCCTGGGAGGCGGCGCGAGAGTGCGAAGTTATTCGCACTTCGCGCTTCGCGCAGCGCGAAGCTCGAAGTGGGGAGCCCTTGAGAAAGCGGCACGGGCACGAGCTTTGTGGACCTCTGTGCGGGTCGTGTGGTCCAGCGCCGGCTGGCCCCCCTCCCCTGGCGCGCGGAGCGTGCCGGGGGCGGAGTCGCCGCCAGGCGGGGGGTTCTCAGCGCAGGTCCAGGCAAGCCGCGTGGACTTTCGGAAGTTGACGTTCTCTGAGATCCCACGTGGTCTGGTGCCAGAAGGGCCCCTGGCCCAAAGTGCCCCGCCATGGGGATCAAGTTGGGACCTCACGGCTTCCTGGGGGGCTGCGAAGTGTGAAATTCACGCCACGTTCGTGGGCTCCTGGGAGGTCCAGCGGAGTGGGGTTGTACGGGGATCCAGTTGAGACCTCGCGAGCTCCCTGGGAGGCTGCGAAGTGTGAAACTGTCGCCATTTTCGTGGGCTCCTGGGAGGTCGCGCGGGGTGGAGTTGTACGGGGGTCCCGTGGAGACCTCGCGGCTCCCTTGGGGGCTGCGAAGTGTGAAATTCACGCCACGTTCGTGGGCTCCTGGGAGGTCCAGCGGAGTGGAGGTGTACGGGGACCCAGTTCAGACCTCGAGGCTCCCCGGGGGGCTGCGAAGTGTGAAATTGTCGCCAGTGTCGTGGGCTCCTCGGAGGTCCTGCGGAGAGGAGTTGTACGAGGACACAGTTGAGACCTCGCGGCTCCATGAGCGGGGCTGCGACGCGTGCAATTGTCGCCACATTCGTGGGCTCCTGGGAGGTCCAGCGGAGTGGAGGTGTATGGAGACCCAGTTGAGACCTCGAGACTCCCTCGGGGGGCTGCGAATTGTGAAACTGTCGCCACATTCGCGGGCTCCTGGGAGGTCCAGCGGAGTGGAGTTGCATGGGAACCCACTGGAGACCTCGCGGCTCCCTGGGTGGTGGGGAAGAGTAAGACTTCAGGGTGGGTCCGGCGGAGTCAGTCGTCACGCAGATCCCGTCGAGACCGCTCAGCTCCCTGGCGCTCGCGCCGGCGAGAGATGCAATTGACGGCATCTATTCGCATCCAAAAGGCAGGAGTTCTCATAGCGGTCGGCGCTGTCCCGTCGTGCAGCGCTCGGCGCTGTCGCATCGCAGCTCGCAGGAAACCGCTGCGCCGCGCAGCGAATAGCGCTGTCTTTTGTCCGCGCGGTCTTCCTGCCTCAGTTGCCCCTGGCCCGCCATGCCACCCCGTGCGCTTGCTTCGCCCGGCGCGACGCGCTGTTCTGCTGTAGATCGCATGGCGCTGTTCTGTCCAGCGTATGTAGCGCTCGGCGCTATGGTTTTTATTGAACATGTATGTCCCCGATCACCGTCCTCCATATGCTTTTGTCTCTGTCCCTGTCTTGCCATACCTGCACGTTTTGGTTGGTGTGTGTGTGTCTGAAAGTTGATTCGCACTGCTAGTCCTGCAGCATGTTTGTTTCTATGGTTTGAAAAGGTTGGGTGAGTCACCTGTTAATGCTTGTCAATGCGGCGCCTGTGGAAGTCCTCAATTCACTTCGAGGGCCCAGCGAGGGCTTCTCTTTCTATATATATATGTACACATATATAGACGCCGCAATCGGAGAAAACCTCCGCCATGATTTTCTGCATACGCTGAACCTCGGAGTCAAACAGTTTACCTGTGGGCCCAACGATGCCCATACCCACTGCCCCATGTGCCCATGGGGTCTTCCAAAAAACACATTTACCCCAACCCAGCAGGATTCAGGAAGAGTTTTAGGAAACCTGTGCTTCGAATTTGCACCCACGATGGCAAAGTAATTATGCGATGCCCATGCAACTAGAAGTGTATCGTCTACCCACTGCCCCCGTGGACTCCTTCGAAGTGCTGTTTTTTCTGTTCTTCGACATCTGGCCCGCGGCCTGGCAAGCGGTCGGAGAGCCGTCGGCGAGCTCGGAGCTGGCGTGCAGGGCCTGGCCGCAGACCCGACGGCGCGCGCCGTGGCGGCGTCCGCGGCTGGCGGCGCGGTGGCTCTGGGCACCACGGGTTCGGGTTTCGGGGTTCCTTGGGATCCGACGCAGCACAGAATGAGCAGCATCGCAGAGATTCGTGAACGGACCTCATCGTTCTGCGACATTTGTCGAGTCGGATCGATTTGCGAAGCCCGAAACAGGGCGAACATTGTTACTCGGTGCCGGGTCATGACCCGAGAGCCCGAGAGCCGCCCAGGCTCACGTAACGGGGGTCAGCGCTAACGGGGTCAGCCAGTCCTCTCTGGTTGACCCGGTTTGGGAGCCACGAGGGTCGACCACACGTAGCAGTGACCCTTCGCCGGAGTGACCTTGAGGGCGAGCCCATTGGGGTCCCCCGATCGCCGAACGCAATGCGACAGTGGCGTTTTGCGCGCTTGAGTACCCCCGCGGCCCTCAAAAAACCGCGCACCAAAGATCATTCCTACCCAGGGCCACTCTTGCGTGTAGCCGAGCGGGGCCGCTTCCCCAGAGGAGGAGGGGGAGGAGGACGCGGAGGAGGAGGAGGAGGAGGAGGAGGAGGAGGAGGAGGAAGAGGCTGCTCCCCCGCCCTCCGTGGACCCGGGCTTGGGAGCTACTTCGTGGTTGGCCTGGGCTCGCGACGGTGGCCCTGGCCGGCCCGGGCTTGCGCCGACCCGTGTCAGTGCGTCCCCGAGGCACTACCGGGGCGGTGGCTGGCTTCGTGACCGGGGGCCTCCTTGGAGCTGCCGCCGGAGTGGTGCCGGCGCTCAGGGCAGGAAGACCCTAAGATCTTGGCGTCGCAATTTACGCCACACCGAGTGATTGTGCCTCGTCTCGTGCCCTAGGATCCTCACGGATCGATCCGGCTCGAGACATGAAAGATGGGGTCTGGGCCTTTGGTCGTGATTTTTCGCGGTGTTGATTTGTTTCGCAACGTAGGGTTTTAGGGAGGGTGCGGATACTGCTGCACCCTTTCCTCATTTTTGCCTTTTTGAGCCTCCAGGGGGGGGAGGGGTCCTCGTCGCCACGACTGTATCCGCTTCTAAAAATTCTGGTCAGAACGCGCCGCGGGAGAGGTCCTGGGAGCAGCGGTACACTGAGGTCCGACGTCCCGAACAAATAACAACATCGCAGAAAAATCACGACCGGAACCATAGGCTCAATCTGTCTGTTGCATCTTCAAAGCCAGATCGATCCGTGAGGGCGCAGGGGCCTGAAGCCAGGCAACTTCGCCCGCTGTGACAACAATGCGACGCCAGGATCTCATGGTATCGGTCGGTGCCGTTTCCCATACATACGATGTGCGGATTCTTTTCAATGCGCGGTCCCTGGAAGTCCCGTCCTTCTCACCATGACCAGCTTTTTGTCCCGAACCCGGGGCTGGGGTCCTAGAGGCCGAAAATTTAGAAAGACCCCCGGCCTGATTTGTCAGGACGTTTATGTGTGTGTGTATGTGTATGTGTGTGTGAGTGTGTGTGTGTGTGTGATTGGGCTGTTTTCTTAGGATGCAACTCCCAGAAGGTCAGATTCAGCATCGGCGCTGGTGTATCCGCGGTCGAAAACCGACCTAATATGGGCTAATCCCGCTTCATCCTGTTTAGCCCTGCGTTATCAATCCGGATTAACCCTGCTCACCAATCCCAGGCTGAATCCGGCTGAGTCCCGAATGATGCCCCCTGGTCGGGCCTAATGACATTCGTGCTTACGGAGACCTCGCAGGAGTTTTCTCCCAAAGCTTCCCCCAGGCGTTCTTCACGTTCGGCTTGTCCATCCCGATCGGGGCCGCCATGGGCGCCGGGGCGGGCTGCTGCGCGGGTGGCGCCGCCGCCGGCTCTGCCGGCCTGGTGTGCGGAGGGGCTCTGGGCCTGCAGGCGTGCCGGGCGCAGGAGCGGCACCCGCAAGAAAGCACGTCTTCGACCACGTGTCTCGACCGAGCACGTTTTTGGCAGGCCGCCCTCGTACTGCAAGCCCCAGGACAGCGAGAGGGGCCCTCCTTCGCTCTCCGCCCTCCTCCTGGGGCGGGGGAGCAGCGCTCCCATGCGGCGAAAGATTGATTCCCCCCCCCTTGTGTTGGGTTTCGTTTTGAATCGGCAGAGCACCGTGGTCTCCGCCTCTCCGCCTCCCGCCTCCCTCCTCCCGCCGTCTGCCTCCTGCTTGGTTCTCGGCCCTCCCGTGCTGGGTCCTCGCCTTGAGTCGTGGGCTCCTGGGAGGTCCGGCGGAGTCGGAGGCCACACGAGGAGGAGGAGGAGGAGGAGGAGGAGGAGGAGGAGGAGGAGGAGGAGGACGGAGGAGGAGGACGGAGGAGGAGGTCGGAGGAGGAGGACGGAGGAGGAGGAGGAGGAGGAGGACGGAGGAGGAGGAGGAGGAGGAGGAGGAGGAGGAGGAGGAGGACGGAGGAGGAGGACGGAGGAGGAGGACGGAGGAAGAGGATGGAGGAGGAGGAGGAGGAGGAGGAGGAGGAGGAGGAGGACGGAGGAGGAGGACGGAGGAGGAGGACGGAGGAGGAGGACGGAGGACGAGAGCAGGCTCAGAGCGCTTCCCCGAGGCTTGCAGAAGCCTCCTGCGCTCTCCGAGGGAGGCTCCTCCGACCTCGCTGCTCCCTGGGTGGATGCGAACTGCGCAACGGACACCACTTCCGTCTGCTCCCGGTAGGTCCATCGGAGTCGGGCGGCACGCGGACCCAGACGGGACCTCGCTGCTCCCTGGGTGGCTGCGGATGGCGACGCTGTCACCACTTCCGTCGGCTCCTGGGAGGTCCAGCGGAGTCGGGGGCCTCGCGCACCCAGGCGGGACTTCGTCGATCCCTGGGAGGCTGCGAACTGCGTACACCTTTTTCGTTGGCTCCCCAGAGGTCAGCGGAGTCGGGGGGCACGCGGACCCAGACGGGACCTCGATGCTCCCTGGGTGGCTGCGGGTGGCGACGCTGTCACCACTTCCGTCGGCTCCTGGGAGGTCCAGCGGAGTCGGGGGCCTCGCGCACCCAGGCGGGACTTCGTCGATCCTTGGGAGGCTGCGAACTGCGTACACCTTTTTCGTTGGCTTCCCAGAGGTCCAGCGGAGTCGGGGGGCACGCGGACCAAGACGGGACCTCGATGCTTCTTGGGCAGCTGACTTCAGTCAGCGCGCGGCGTTGTTGCATCACAGAGCGCAGGGCGCTGGAGCGTCACGTAGCGCATGGCGTTGCCCTCAGTTGCCCACTCCCCCTCCTTCTCAGGCGCCCGTCACTTGCAGCTGTAGCTCAAGCGAACCGAGAATATGTAGCGTATGGCGTTGTTGCTCTCACCAGCGTTTCTTTTTCCCCTCGCAATCCTCCTTGTCCTCCTCCCTTTTCCTCCTGCTAGTTTTCCTCCGCCTCCTTCTCCTCCTCCTCCGTTTTTTTCCCCTGTTCGGTGTTGCGCAGGTGTGCGACGTGCGTGGCCCGACATGGTATCGCCTCCCCCAGCGTTGCGTAAGTCGCAATGTGTTCTTTTGTATGAAGCGTTCACATTTATAGCCGCCTCTCGTGCAGAAAGGGTTGGGTATTTCTCGGGTGTGGGTACTCTTCCCCCCGCGGGTTGTCGTCGTCGTCGGTCGTTGTCGGCAGAGGGCAGTCGTCGTTCGTCGTCGTCGTCGTCGTCGTCGTCGTCGTCGTCGTCGTCGTCGTCGTCGTCGTCGTCGGTTCGCTGTCGCCAGCGACACTCGGCCGCCGAAGAACGTTTAATCCCCAACTCTCTTGTGTTGGGCTTTCGTTTTGAAAAGAGCACTGTGGTATCCATTTCTGCTCCTTCTCATCCCCCTTCCTCCTGCCTCCTCCTGCGCTCCTCCCTGGGTGGATGCGAACTGCGCAACGGACACCACTTCCGTCTGCTCCCGGTAGGTCCATCGGAGTCGGGCGGCACGCGGACCCAGACGGGACCTCGCTGCTCCCTGGGTGGCTGCGGATGGCGAAACTGTCACCACTTCCGTCGGCTCCTGGGAGGTCCAGCGGTATCGGGAGGCACGCGGACCCAAACGGGGCTTCGCTGCTCGTTGGTAGGCTACGAATTGCGTAGCCGTCAGCACTTTTGTGGGCTCCTGGGAGGTCCAGCGGAGTAGGGGGCAACGCGGACCCGTTTGGGACCTCGCTGCTCCTTGTGAGGTTGCCAATTGCGCAACTGTCGTCGCTTACCGTCACCAGTTTCATGGGCGCCAGGGGGGTCCAGTGGGGTCGGCCACGCGCACCCATTCGGGACCTCGTGGGCTCCTGGGAGGTCCAGCGGAGTCGGGGGCCACGCGGACCCAATTGAGACCTCGTTGCTCCCTGGGAGGCTACAACTTGCATAACCGTTCCCTTTTTCGTAGGCTAATGGGAGGCGCAGCGGGGATGAAGGCAGCGTAGATCGTGCATATATCGCGACGCGTTCTTATGTATGGAGCGTCCATGCAAGTATTCGCCTCGCGTGGAGAAGAGGTTGGGTACGTCTCCGGTACTTCTTCGCCGCACGGAAGTGTCGTGACCTTGAAGCTTACATACCGATCACTAATATCATACCTCCGCAATTGCGGATAGGAATGAGGGGTCGAGGTCTCGACGCGACGCGACTTTTCAAATTTTGGGCATGCCTTGTTGTCAAAGGAGGAATAATGTCCCTTTGCTGATCGGCCCTGGGCGTTTGCTAAACAGCCCTGCATTTTTCGATTCCTCACTTGGGTACGTTTACATAACGGCTTCTCTTGTCGAGGTGATTCTGATGGGGGGATTGTGTGCGTTCCTATTTCTCGCAGCCGAGACTGGCGCCACCAATGGGCGGCCCCCGCGATGCCGCGGCGCCCCCTGGACGGGGTAGTGAAACAAGTGAAGCAAAGCATTCAATGAAGAAGCCCGCCGCAGGCGCAGATTTCTGAAATGTTCACAGTTCCTGCATCTCTGCGCAACCATGACCCGCCCCACCCGTTGGCCCCGCGGCGACGGCCCCCCACGACGCCGCTGGCCCCCCGGGCGGGCTACTGGAAAAAGTTGAACGAGACATTCAATGAAGAAGCCCGCCGCAGGCGCCGACTCGGCGAAGCCAAGACCAACGCCACCCTTGGGCGCCGCGGCGACTGGCCCCCCATGACGCCGCGGCCCCTCTGCGAGGGGGCCCCTGGGCCCCTTCCCCGGAGCCCCTCCCCCTACACCACTGGCGTCACCCGTGGGCCCCGCGGCGACGGGTCCCCGCGACGCCGTGAGCCCCCCCGGCCAGGCTCCGCCAGGCCCTTCCCCGCGCCAAACATGGAAGCAAAATATTGAGGGTAATCTTAATGGTACTGATCATAACAATAATACTACTAATAATGCGAATCATACGATTAATAACAATCTGGTTGTTGTTGTTATTTCCCATAAGGAAGAGCAAGGAAAAATAGACAAGTAGTAATAATAGCAATGATAATAAGCATGTGTAATGTTACTAGCAATACTAATTCGGATAATACTTGTAATCGGAAGAAGCAGATAAACGCGACGACGTTTGCCTGCCAACGCGCGCACGACTTGAAATGGATTCGCGTGAGCGGGCACCCCTCACTCCAAGTTTGTTGCCTTCGGCCCATCCCGCTACTGTGCCTGGGGGTTGTTGAATGTTCGTTACGGCGCCTCTGGGAGGCAGTTTTGAGGCCTCTTGGGGGGGCGTTTTGGGGCCTCTTGGGGTCTCTTTTGGGCATCTTGGGGGCCTCTTGGGCGCCTCTTGGGCGCCTCTTGGGATCTCCGGATGTTTGGTTCGTGTTCCCTCTCTTGGGCGCCTTTTGGGGCTGTCTTGGGGCCCTCTTGGGCCGTCTTGGGCGCCTCTTGGGCCGCCTTGGGGCGCTCTTATCTTAGGTTGTCTTGGGGCCCTCTTGGAGGCCCCTTTGGCCGTTTTGCGGTTGTCTTGTGGGCCTCTTAGGCCGTCTTGGAGCGTCGGGGAGCCGAAAAGGCGAGAACGCCCGAATCCTTCAAATTTTGAGAAGCATTGATAATTTGTTGTGTCTCTTGGGGCCCTCTTGGGAGGCTTCTTGGGAGCCTTTTGGGGAGTCTTGGAGGCCTGTTGGGCCATCTTGGGACCATCTTGGATGTCTTGGGTCGATCTTTGGGCGTCTCGGAGCTCTCTTGGACCGTCTTGGGGGCCTCGTGGGGCCCTCTTGGCCCGTCTTGGGGCTATCTTGGGCCCGAACAATTTATGCAACAAGTCGCGGGGGAGCCACGGGGACACTCGGAAAGCCCCGCCAAATTTTGGCAGTTTGGGGTCGGGGCCCATGTCTGACTCCTCGGAATTGAGGACTGAGGCTCCTGGGATGAGGCAAATGACCTGAGGACACGCCCACTCCGTGCCCAGAGGCAAGGTGGCAGATTAGCAAGCATGCATTCAAGCGCAATTTCGCCCCCCAAAAAACAAAACAACAGTCTGTCAAATTCGGTTTCGGGGCCAGGTGGGCGGCCTTCTGAGAAGCGACGGTGCTCTTAACTCCTGACAGGCATGCGGCCATTTACAAGCTTTCCCAGTTTCCCCAGGACGCCTTGTCGGAAGCCGCCAGGCTCTGCGAAGAAGACCCCATGTCAGGATGAGGCTCCTGGGAGGTAACATTCAAAAGTGCGCGCTGGTATATCCCTGGTCGACAACCGGCACATTCTGTCTTAATCCTGCCCAATCCGGGTTATAATCCCGCTGAATCTGGCCTAACCCCGTTCAGTCCGATTTGATCCTGGATTCAATTTTTGGCCGAGTAGCCACTCAATCGGGTTCAATGTTTCTTGATCGTCCTGCCAGCGACCTCCCAGATGTTGCCTCCCAACCCATGGCTTCTAAGAAGTCCCTCTTCTTCTCAGAAGCCCGCCCCCCCCTGTCGCGGCACCCCCTGTGTTGGCGCCGAGCAGGAGCGGCGCCCCAACGACGCGATGGTGCGGCCGGCCGTG